TGCTATAAGTACAACCAAAAAAAGATTTTGTATTTCCATAAATGGGGTAAAACTATGGAATAATTTAAATATGGACATAAAAAACAGTAAGAAAATTGATGAGTTTAAACACAAATATAAAGGTATGTGTCAATCAAGATATGGGCAAGAACAGAATTAACGATTAATCAGACGGGAGTGTGGATGTAGAATATGTATCTATGTAGTAATACTGCTTGCAAACCAATGATGGTAAGATGATGTTAGGGGGTAGATAGATAAGTCTAACGTCTTCCTACTCCGTTCAAGCATGTACTAGGTATAAGCAAATTGAAAATATATTTGTGGATATATCTGGAATTATGTGTGGTTACATATTGACTGTTGTTATATGTTTGAAAAAATAAATAAATCAAATCAAATCAAATCAAATCAAAACATACAATCGTGTAAAAGAAAAGAATCTTAATCAGATGCTAAAGTTTACTCTCACATTTATTGATAATTTATATTCGACATAACTGGAACAATGCAGGAATTTGTATTAGAGAAACTGCCACACATTAAAAGCATCGTCTTACGTAATTTAAGAACTTTTTAAATTAGCCTAACGTTAGCTAAACACATTTTAACATAACTTGACCCAATTCTCACCGTTACATCCCGAAACGAGTATCCTGGTAAAAATGGCAATCCGTAATTGTTCCAGTTCCAAGACATTGCTGGTTTTTAAGGGTTTTTCCCCCCTTTACGACTTCCTCACCCCCGACTAAATGTTGAACAACTGGCTATTACTTTCGTGATTTGTGGATTTAACTAGCGACGCTTTGTTGGTGTGTAAAGCAACCCGACACCGTGGTAAGTTTATGGTATCCATGGAAACGACACGACAGCAACAACTCGAGAAGACAAGTAGATAAAAAAAATATTATTGAAAAAAAACCCTTAAATTCAGAGTGTAAACCAAATGAATTAAAAATATGTGACAATTAATTATGACAATTAATACATGTTCGGAGAAGCCTTCGAAAATAAGAAAAACGTCGTAGTTTTTATTCCGAGTAGCTTACAGGTGCTGTAGTTAATTTAAGGAATAAAGTAAAAAATCATTTATCATAGCCATAAATACTTTTATTGTAATTGGGTAACTTATCCATCTCAATTTACACAAACTGTAGCGCCTTAAATTTAACACCAGGGGGCGAGCAAAGCCAGTAAATCTCAGAGGTCATCACCGGAAAACAAACTTGGGAGTTTATGATTAATTCTTTGTAATCTCTACATATGTAGCTTTAAAATTACTATTTGGGTGTCATAATGCAGGGCAAGCATTGTCCATAATTGGACTTTAATACAAGCAATGTGGGACTGTGAATGTGAAGTGACATTTAAAATGCAAACCATTTCTGACAAAAATGTGCAATATTAACAGATAAAACAAAAAAACATGAGTAGACAGGTTATTTTTGAACAGTTTATTCCAAGCACAGGAGTTATATTGTGGTCTCTCACTTAACCAGCTACTGGCACATTTTTAACCTTGTTCATGTCTAAACACAAGAACTGGGTTTATAAAAAAACAAAACAGAGCAGCAGTCCTTATGGAGATGACCATAATATGTCCCACACACTCAAACTCTGTCAGAAAAATACCAAGCTTCTTATGGAAACTATAATTAATTCTATGCTTGAATCCAGGGCAGCTCAAACAGAACCAGACTGTCAATAGCTTATACTATTACACTGGCAACATGATTTAGGAGATAAAATTTGCATGCTCACTGTGAACACTTCTGCAGTGCTGGTTCCTTCTTCAGATGGCCATGAGCAGTGATTACCACGCGCATCTGTTTAGCGCCACTATTTTTGAAATATAAGCACAAGACCTGAAATTTTGAAGTTTTCTATGAGTGAAAAAAATCATTTGTCGCTGGTACAAAATCGGCATAGCTTTATCACATTAATTTATATCTGGGGAGATCGCAAGTGCAATGTTTGACAGACGTATTCAGGTTTTACACCTGGTTCACATTAGTAAAGCGGTGATGGCAAAACATAAGAGATAAGACAAATTCAGTTTTTCCACTTGGCCAGTTGAGTGATACACCAGCTGTTCTCTTGACAACAGTGACTTAATAGCTAGATAAGGCACTGCACTGTGATTTAAACATACTGTATCAAAAATAAGGTAAAATCACTAAAACCTCTTTGAGGCTCTTTACGATACTTTTCTTTTCTTTAAATGCTGACATAGCTGTTTAAATGAGCTGATCCATTTCTTAGGAGGCAAATACATCAACCAAAAACAGAAACACTAGGATTGTATCCCTGAGGTGCCAGACAGCCTTTGCCAAGTATAAAAATATCTCATAATAAAACCAGACTTGACAACAAAAATACACAACATCCACAAACTATTAAATATTAAAATATAGATTTCATAAGGGCTGAGATGAATTCCACAAAATTTATCTTTTGGTTTTACAAAGGTAAAAAGGCAGCATAGTTGTACACTGCTGAAAGATAGTCTGTCAGTGTCCCCTCATCCAGTACATTTCTTTCTGCTTTACGCTGGCCCTCGCTCACGTCCACATTTAAATACTGGAGGGTACTGAGCTGAAAGCTTCATGTGTCTTTTGCAGCTGCCCCATCTTCTGGGTAAAACAGACCCATCCTAGGCCTTGGTCTTTCACTTACCAAGTAGCCTCTATGGGCCTGTGTGTGTAAAGTAGCTAAACCATAAATCCTCACTTCAAAAAAGCCTGCTGAGGTCGCGGGCAAGGCAGTGTAGCCTTCCACCCCTTACTTCTGGAATAAACAGGTGAGCTTTTCATGCAGAGGGGGAGCTTATTCTCTTACTGAATGGGGTATGCCATATGCAAACCAGCAAGAAGGAAAGGGTTTCTGCACAAGTCTCTGAAACCTTCCACTGTTGCATGCTTGCTTATAAAGTTTCATCATGTGTCTTGTTCCTCCCAACCCAAGTGTGTCCTGATTTCTGTTCTATCAAAAGACTCTTAGTGGTGCTCAATAATACCGATTGAGGCTCCGTGTCCCAGGGATGTCCGGTTGACCATTCATCCAGATCTCTCGGATGATTCTCTCTCGCTCCTCAAGTCTCTGTGCTCTTTCCAGCTCTTCTGCTGACGTAAACACATTTGTGTTAAGTGTGCGCTCAAAGCGCCGATGTCGGCGTGCTGACAGATCTGAAGTGTTGTCCCATTCCGAGTCTGAATCGCTGGAATCGGAGGACGAGTCAGCAGGACGTGCTCGTTTTTTGGCAGGCGGTCGCTGGCGGGGTTGGCAGTCGGTGCGACAGGAGATCTGGACCACCAGGGCGAAGAGTGTGAGGAACAGGCCCAAACACACACCACAGATGAAGAAGAGCGCTGCCCTCTCTGGGTGGTCTGTTACAGGGGTGGGGGGTTGGGGGTGTAGAGAACAAGATGGAGAATGTTTGGCTGGTTTCTTAATGAAAACATGTCAACCGTTTAGTTGGATCTTTCTGACTGATGTTGGATCTCTTTTTTATTTTCCTCTGCCCTCTGCTGTAAAACATTTCACTAGATGGCTCACACGCTGTAATGAACAGCGTGCAGCTGCAGACTTACAGCTCATATGACTTACTGTACTGTAGCTCCTTGGCTTTTTGGTTTGGTTAGAATGTCTCACAAATTATGCAATACACTGTAATTCTCTTGCCCTGTGTCTACAGAAATGCATCTCTAAATGTAATTCATATTTGTTCAATATAACATTCTGCAAATAAAGTAGGTCATAAAATGTTATGGCTGCTTACAAATGTGAGAAAACCTTTTAAGAAGTTGGAAGCTGGGCAAGCTGAGTGAGTCTATCGGCCCATTATGGCATATGTGTTTATTTGACGCTATGCCTTATATATTTGCCTATGTACAGTATAATCTGTTTATTTGAGTCAGAGTGGGAGGTAATAAAACAAGATATATCCAAAGTCTCTGCCTCTCACTCCAGCAACTGGCTAGAACAGGTGACTGACAGCGCATGTACAGTCATTATCTCTGCCTAACATCTGCATTCCTCTTAGCCTACATTTACCCACCTTTCAAACCCAGGAAAAAGAAAACGGGGTATTTTACTCAAATCACAGCATGCCCCACATATATACCACACATGAAACTATGCACCCAAAACCCAATGTCACTAATATCGCTGGCTGAGAAGCAACACTGAGCTGACACTGTTTGTGAATATTAAGATTCAGTCAGATCTCTTCCCAAATGAAATCAGAGTTCGGGTGTGCCTTCTAACTTACCTTCCATCAGAGCCTTTAGGCTACTGATGTTATGTGTCATTAGATGTTGTCTACATTACCTGATATGTAGGTATAGGCTGCCAGTGCATTGCTGATGAAGGTCATATTGGTGCTAGAAGCGGAGTTGATGGGATTCATGCCTCTGGGCCACAGTGGACTTTGTCCTCCTTGTCTTCCGCTGTCTAAAGACTTCTTCTCGGTGTGTTTTGTCTCCCTTATCTTCTTATTATCTGCAAAAGACGGCAGAGCAGGAAAGTTGAGCTGTAATGTAAGATCATTTAAAAAAAAAAGTTTTTGAAAAGTTTCATATTTAAAGAAAACATCAAGAAACAGCCCCAGATGCAAGGACACACGAGTAGTGTGTTTCAAACCTGATGTACTGTCAGATTATGACGCCACTGGTTGGATCATTTACAGTAAGGAGGGAGTGTATTGTCTCAGAGCTATTGTGACTACAGCATTCAGACCACTGAGTCATCCACAGGGGTTTTCGATTTTAGCAGATATGCTTCTGTAAAAAGATGCATCACACACACATACATTTTCAAAGAGTCTGATTCAGCAGATAACAACATCCGCTTCTGTCGAATTCATTCTGACTCAGGTTGGTAAGAAACAGAGAACCACATGGGAAATATTTACTCTTTGGCAACATTTAAAAAGCTCCCCCGGCATCTCAGAAAGTCTATTTATAGATGGGAACAACTGCTTCTTTCTTTGGATTTTCAGCACAGCCCAACATCTTTCAGTGCTTCCATGCTGCTTTGTGTTGTGTGTGCCAGAGCTGAGGAGCTGAGATAAGAGTATAAAGAAGTACAGGGTGATTTAAGGACTTAGATTCACAAAGAATGTTCATTTTCTGAGTACAGTCACCTTTAGTTAACCCGAAGAAGCATTTAGCCAGGATACTGTAACTGCCTGTACTTTAGCTCCATGAAAGAGCAATATGTCAAAACAACCCTCAAGCTACGAGAGCCAAAATAAACAGGAGCATGCAGCTCAGTGACTTGAGATTTAAGGATCTGTGTGTGTGTGGTCATATATCATACTTGATTTTTCATCATTTAAGTAAGCATGCTTTGGTAAACTGTCACAGACACCAATGACCTCTAATTACAGAGTCTCTAAGGTGTGTCAGGCCCTCTTTATCTGATAAATGCCGTTTAGACTGGAATTGCTCACTGAGGAGGTAAATGATGCCACCTGGACCCACTGCTGTGGTGCAAACATCAGCTACATCCAACCAGTAAACCATAATCCCTCTTTCAAACATACACAAAAATAGCCACACTGAATGTCAAAAGAAAGCACTTAGCGTTATAAAACACAAGATGCAGTAGCTGCTCTTTTAATTTAATTCTAGACAGGAACCCGGTGTTTTTAAGAATACCAACACATCTGGATGAATTTTGGGGGCAACTAGAACATTTTATTTGATACTGTGATGCTGCTTTATAAGCCACGATATATTACCCTACTTTGATGTAAGCATCTATTGAATTGTTGATTGTTGTTACTGTTTTCACAATAAAATGCATCTTGTTCAACCTTCATTTTTCATCTCCCATCACTCCATCAGAGATGGAAACAGGTCTTTCCAGGTGAGCTGTAGGTGACGTGTTTGGAGCCAGTACCAGGAAGTGTTACCTGTTCTCCATAGGAGGCAGGGAGTGTGTGACTGTGTGTATGGGAAGGTTATGTGTTTGCATCGTTCCGCTCACCTGGAACAGTGACTGAGCTCCCATCCGGAGGACCGTCTCCCACTATATTGGGATCATGGGCACTGGCTGGTGGGGAGTGCACCGGTGGTCTGGAACCCTGCTCCTGAAGCAACTTCTTTGGAACTTCAAAAGAAGAAGAAAGCGAGGGAATGATGGAATGAATTATGTCGGACATAACACTGGAGTCCATGCAGCATTTTAGTGAGATGATGTTAAAATTTACACCATCAACACAGCTAGAAAAACAGGGAGCTTGTTAGACTATCAATGTGTAGCATGAAATTTCTTGGTTCACAAACAAATGATGGTTACTTTAACGTTATGTGTGTCAAATATGTGTCAAATATGTAACACTGAACATTAATACTGTACCAATATTACTGGAAAAAACATTCCTCTGTATGTTGTTTGCTTGTGTTACTGCAGATACATCCACGGTATGCATATCGCTAAAATGTAAACCTCTTTATTTGACATTGTGTCGCTGCAATGCCACCAAAAGCCATGGGTTCTATGGCTCTATATTCCGTATACATTAGTTCTACAGCCAGGTATTACTGCTACAATGGTCTCTGGCTGTCGTGACCACATATGGCCTAGTTTCAGAGACAGGGCATGAGGAGCAAAGTATGTATTAAGTAAGGAGCAGTTATAGACAGCATCATGGCGCTGATTCACACTTCTCCTGACCTTGCACTCTGATTCCCGAAAGTTAAACTTCCCCCATCTCTTTCCCCAGCCTCACAGTGTCCTGTGAGTCAGGGAGTCTGCAATCTTTACCCCAGACACAAACCCACAATGCAGTGGGCTTATACATTCCTATCCGCTCATATGTGGTTTTGGAGGCCGGGCCATACTCCAGTCACTGTGTTTGTCTGCCCTCTCAGATCGGTGGTGATTTACAACTCAACAGATGATTGTCTGTCCAGCTGTGTGCCTATCTGTCATTGTTTTCAGTACTCTGGACAAACAGACAAAGTAAAATCTGCGGCCTGGTTTTGCTGATATCAGTAGCAGTAATAGTGACATTGTGACATGATTTGGAGTAAAATGGACCATTTGTTTAAAGGCCAGTGAACAAACATACTGATCAAATTTCCAGAGATGGACTTTGGCAGTTTTCCAGGAGCCAATCAAAGCGCAGGAAGGAGCAGCGCAGAGCTCACAAAGCCCCGATTCAGTAGAGTTTCTAATTGTGCAATGGTGAAAAGGTTGAGAAAAACTTGACTACTGACATTTACAAGTTTGCAGTAGAAACTGACAAGAAATAAAGACTTGGAGATGGGGAAGTGATAAATACCATACTGTTTTGTGGTACACCTGTACTTAACCTCTATTACAACATGCACAATATATTATTTTGTGTAAACTAGGAAGTCATTTAGCATGAAGCAGCTGTGGTCTGTGCAGTGATCTGCACCAAAAACAAACAAACAAATAAAACTGAAACACAGCACTGATGGCAGGAATATCAAGCATGACAGAGGTTTCTTTTCAATGGGCTGGAATTTAATAGTTAATAAGGGTTCATCTTTAGAAAGACTAACCACTTATTCTTCAAAAATTAATTCTCCCATTAATTCTCAGTGCATGAACGTTCTGTATCTGAGACACACTGGAAAACTGACATCAAGTTGGCACTTGATAAACTTGCACTCTCTCAAACGATGAAACCCAGTCGCTATTTCTTCAGTTAATAAAAACTATCAAGTTTCTGAAATTAACTTCTGGCATCTGACTGACAAGAGCACACTGGTCATGACGTACTGTGTTTAATTTAACTGTGCCATTGCCACCTGGGTTGTAGTTTATGCATTAGTAGTGCTGCTGTTCCTCTACAGTAATTCATTAACAGTTTATTCATTAGCAGTACTGCTGTTCCTCTACAGTAATTCATTAACTTCAAGACAGAACCCTCTCAAACGACGCCTTACATTGCATATTAACTTATGCCATGGCACAATGCACATGTTAGAGGAACATTTTTGATGCTATCTTACTGCAGGAAAGTGGATAGACAATAAACAATAGTGGTCCAGAGTTTAAAGAGATCTGCTAGATCTTGTTCCAGCCACTTGCTATGAGCAAAAGAGCAGGAGGTTGATGCCAGACTAATAGACGCAGTAAATGATTTCTGATCTTTGTTTTGATCTCCTTTACTGCGCTGGGGGATTTCATATGGCGCCAGGTAAGTTGCCAACTGAAATATATACTGTTACATTAAAATACCACTGTAATTACACCATCTCAAACTGCACCAACCTGTCATCAAAATTGGTTAATAAACCAAGAATCTGAAATCCCATTTTATCCGGGTCTGCTTGGCACAAACCATAAAAACACAGCACCCCCATAAGAAGAGGCAAAAAAAGCAGCAAAACGCAATGGGATTCGATCTGGCAGGTCAAAATGTCCTTCTTCATGGGTCTTAAAACTCCCTCACTGCCACGCCCTGATTACAGACTTCTGATTGGCTCTAATTGGCTGCACATGTGGCGCAGGGTCACAGCAGAGAGACGCAATGATGTGACACTCACACAAACACACACAGTTTGACACAGCTCCAGTACAGAACATAGAGTTGCAATGCATGCAAAGGTGCATGCACACTCATACTGTAGCTACATCAAATGCATCAATGCATACGGATGTACTACCTGGTATATGTGCAGAGATACAGTCCAATACACTTGTTTAACATTTGAACACCCTTCCATCCCAACAACCAGTTTTTCTTTGGGCTTACTCTGTTGGAAAATTCCAGTACAGTATAGTAAACTGATGACTGCTTGTCTAAAAATAACTGTCAAAAAGTGGAAACCTCCTGAACCAAATGGCTGCAAACCACACTTAAGGAGCCAAGCAGTAAAAACCAAACCAGTAAACGACAGAAAGAGGAGTACAAGCGAGAGAAACCAAGCACATAAATCAAACTCTACAGCCTGTTTTATACTGACATATTCACATAAACACAGGGCAAATGAGTCTTCACATTTCTTAATATAAATCCACTACATGGGACCTGTGCCAGCATTATACTGTACCTCTCAGAGTCCTGAATCGCCACAGGGAGCGAAGATACGAGGCGAGAAACTGTGCATATAACAATAGCCATGTTTACACTGGCAGAGCCCGGCTTTGTTTTCACTGGGCCACAGTGTGTGTGTTTGTGGGCCATGTGCTGACCTATGCAGAAAACAGTTGGGACAAAGCCCTGGAAGTCAGGGCTTTGTCCTAAAGAAATATTAAATCACACTGAATCTGTGATGACATCTGACCTGTAGCAATATTTGATCACACTTTGATTATACAATGAATACTTTTTGTACTTCAAGTATTTATGATATTACTATTATTATTTTGAATGCAGGACCTTTACTTGTAAGAGTATTTTTACACTGTTGTATCACTACGTTGACTGAAGCAACGAATCTGAGCACTTCCACCACTGGATAGCATCAATCTTAAACTAGTTACATAGCGAATAACATAAATCCTTAGATGATAAAATGCACAACACTATGGGCAATCATTTCCTGAAAAAGGTCCAGTATAGCAATTTAGGGGGGGAAAAAAAGGTGTACTGAAACAATGTGCTGGCATATGAGTACATGTGTGTAGCAAGTCTGAAATAAAGCATCTGGTTCCAATCAACACACAACCAGTGCCTTAATCTACAACATTACAGTGCTGTCTAAAGCCCAACATTCACTTGATTTACACACACACACACACACACAGACATAACAAAAGCAGTGCCTCAAAAACTCAAATCAATGTTTATGGACACACTTGGGCTCAAAACGCTTTTTCAGCTTCTTCTTCCGCACCCCACTAAGACATGACATAGACAGGCATGCAAACATCTGCACACTCATATTCACAAACCCATCCACCACACACATGCACAGACAACCATTTTTCACTG